GGGATGTGGGGAGGGATGTGATCCAGTGGTCCAAGCAGGGCCCTGTGCATCTGCAGTAGCAGATTCAGAGCCCAGATCTGCTGGGATGTGGCTGTACGATCCCCAGCAAACCACTCTGCTTCCCTGGGGCTTATTAAGGACCTGGCAATGTTTCCGACCCAGCTCCCTGAGCACCAAGAGTTAGCTGATGTTAGCAGTGCTTGCAGGGAGTCTGAGGGGTACTTTAATCCCAGAAGAATTTCATAGAGAGTCTGAAGGGCTCTTGGAAACTTCTTGTATAAAGATTTGCAATTTCTAGTCAGGATTTTCCCCTCCTAGAGGTTGCTGTGGTTTCTTCTCTCTGGCTGTCAGAGGCAGACGCCAGCACGGGTAACCCTGGAGAATGATACTGTGAGAAAGGATGTTTGTGAGGGGGACAGCAGAAGTGTCAGGTCATCATGTGCATCTGACCTCTTTTTTTAGTCTGGTGTGAATGTAGAATAGCCCACTTTAATTAAATTAGATTAGCAAAAGTAAATCCTTTCTGCAAAGACTGTTTGGCAGAGGCACACGCAGGAAGTCTGCACTGATATTTATTTACCTTGTCCTGTCTTTGGGGAGCTTTTGCATTGCTGAGTCCTTGTGGAAACCTCCTTCAGTACCAGGTCTGGGTGGGAAAGACTCCACAGAACCACGGAGAGAAAGAGGTAGAGAAAAGCTATTTAAAATACACTGTGCTCCAGCCTGCTTCAGAAACCTGCTGCCAGTAACAGTCTTTGTGCTAAATTTCCAGCACTGAAGCAATAAATCCATCCTAGAAGTTTATGGGAAGTTTTAATGGGAAATACCCGAGAGCTGCGATGTGCAGATGTAAATGATAAAAAAAAGGTGGCAGTTCTGTGAAGATGCACCTTGGCAGCGAGGGCTGCTCCTTGTTCTCCTTGGTTTGTGTTTCAGGCAGTTGATGCAGTAACGCTCCAGTGCGCGTTCCCAGAGCTGAAATGCCCATTTTACACAAATGCCAGGTTATTTGATAGTGTTCACCCTGAAGGGCTGGAAACCCCAGCGTGAAAGGAGCAGTCTTCAGGCTCCAGGGTTGACTGGGCTTTTTAGTTTGTCACCATTATGTACAAAGATAAACAAATTCAGCCAGTGCCTTGCACCTCCGGAGCAAGAGCATCATTTCAGGACCCCATCCCCTGCATCCATGGGCTGTTTCACGTAGAGGGGTGCAGCCAGCAGCGAGGTGCTTTGGGACCCATCTCCCATCAAGCACCTGCATCCGTGTGGAGAAGCTGCAGGTCTTGAGGAGTTAACGAGTGGCCTTGCATCTAGGAGCAGGGATGGGGAATCAGTCCCTTCATGTGTGGACTTACTCAGCTGTTTTTTCTGGCACCAGGCATTTCATCATGATTCAGCGTCGTTGAAACACTGGTAATGAAAACAGACAGGTAATTTAATCATGGAAAGTTCCTACAAAGAGATTCGATGTCTTCTAATGGGAGCCTGCTGCTGGGGGGGACTGGAAGGGAATCCAGATGTATCTTAGCTCTGGTACAGGCTGGAAAAATACCTGACAGAGACTTTGGTACAGTAGATATGTTGGAGCTTCACAAGGATCCTATTAGATCCTCGAACGGCTCATACACTTATCGCCACGGATGCGACACTGCAGTGTATACATGGCACAATATGGAATTCTGCTAATCTCTTAAGATAATGCAGAGCTTATGCCCACAGTCTGTATTGTGGGGGTATTAGACTCGTAAATCTGTGCAGTGCCTTTGAAGGGTGGCAGCTCCCTGCGTTCAGCAGCATTCTGCTCCGTCACGTGGGGCGTTTCGCTGCCCGGCGTCCTCTGAGCTGGGGATGATGTTTGGATTTGCAGATTATGTCGTGAGGCACTTTTCAAGCCATATTTGTAAATATGCATCAAGAATGATTGAGGAAAGTGCTGTATTCTGCCCCAAACAACTTCGATTCACATTTGAGTGCGGAAGCCTGTGATCTGTTCTGGTCTCCACTGTCTCTCAGGTGGCTGAACACGTCTCTGCTCCTGGACACCTCTGGTTTCCATCACACTGATGTGCTTCTCCCTGTACCTGCCTGCTCCTTGTTTCACTGTGCTCCTACCCATTCTAACCTGCACCACTTCCCTCTGTGTCTTTCTCCTAAACCCTTCCCTTGCCCATCATGATGACGTGAGAGAAGAAAACCTGGCAGAGTTAGAGGGGATGTAAAGAAACGCGACCACCAGCAGCCCAGCTCCTCCCTCTCCTGCATCCCTGTGCCTGGAGCCTGGGGATGAGGTTTGTAGGGTTGGTACCACGCCACTATGGAAGTGATGGGTCAGTAGTTGTTTGGCACTGGAAGGACACCATGAAGTTAGGCAGAGGAATCATTTCTGTCTCCAAACATCAGCCAGAACCTTCCTGCTGTGGAGTTGTTCTCTTTCTTCTTCCACATTCACGGGAATAATAATTTTTCTTGTCTGACATCATCATTTGTTGTCATGGAAACCAAACCCTCAGGAAGAGATGCAGTGGAGCATCCTGGTATCAGTGGGTGCCTCTTGGGCACTGTGCTCTGGACACGGGGCTGTGAGATATCCAGGTGGGTGGGATGGGAGAGCAGCAGGGTCAGCTCTCCTCATGTCATAGAGTCTCTGAGTAGTGTGGAGCCATCTCACCTTGATGGACGGGGTGAGAGACCCTGGGCTGCTCCTCCTGCCTGTGGGGGAGGCAGGAGGGTGCAGGCAGCACCCAGCACCCCACATAGGGCTCTGGCTGTGTCCCAATCGACCTGTGCCAGGCACAGCTCCAAGCACTTGTCCAGGCTGGAGAAGCCATCACACATGTGGTGCTGTCTCCAGACCAGAGCTGCAATTCCCAGTTGGAATTGGCCTGCACAAGGCTTGTCCAGTGGTATCTCTCTTTATTAGCCCTGTCTGACCTCATTACTAGAAAGAAGCTCAATTTAACGAGCTGTTGGTGCCCCGAGGGAACTCGGAAAAACAGTTGTTTTTTACAAAGGCTGCTGATCCTTCATGTCCAGCATTTCCATTCCCCTTTGGCCATTAATCAGGTGTTTGCATGGAAGAGGCCGTGTGTCCCGCAGCACCATGTTCCTGCTGTTTATCCCTCAGGAGACTTTGCAGCCTTGTCCCTCTGTCCGCAGTGTGGGCTCATGCAGGAGATGGCAGAGCTGCATGTGTGGGTGTCTCAGGTTTGCAACACCCAGCAAGACACTGGTCTCATACTGGTCTCAACGTGCCTCTAGTTCTCAGTATTTCACGAAGGCTGTGAAGTATCCTGAATCACACAGGTGCAGCTAAAGCAGGATTTGTGCTTCTGCCTTTTTTTTTGGATTTTCCTTTCTGAGAGTTGAGGGCTTTGGAGCCAGGCTTGGGCTGCCTGTGTGATCCTGCCAGAGGTTCCCTGCGTCTGGCTCTGGGTGTTAAACCAGCTCAGTTGGATTCACACCTGGTGTTCTTTTATATCACTAAAATATCAAAAGGTAAGGAAGAAAAGAGAGAAATCCAGAAAATAAATGCATGTGTGTACCCAACAGGTCTTTACATGGCAGGAGGCATCGGGGCTCTTTCCAAGATGAGGATTTATTTGGAGGAGGGTGCAGGGGAGCATCTCTCCTCTGTGAGCGTGAAGATATCTTTGTATTTCCAGCTGGGGTGGCACATTTCTCAGATAAATCTTAAGATGCTTAACAACCTGCTCTTTTGCCTCCTGGGGATGTGAACCAGAACAAATAAACGTCCCTCTCTGCTGCTCTGTCCTGCCTCTTCTGAAGGCTTAGACTTCTCCAAAGCTGGTTCTTCATGCCTCTTCCTCCCTCCCGCAGCCAGGCAGGGAGTCATCCAGCAGCAAAAGGGGATGCGGCAAGACAGCTCGGCGTGAGGCTGCAGCAGATGGCATCTTTGTGATAAGAGGTTTTTCCAGGGACGAGCAGTCCTCGGCACATCCCTCTCCTTGCAGGACATCATGCACGTGCAGAGCGTGTCCCTGGCCCCGTCAAACAGCATCGCTGTCTCTGTGAGCCGCGGGGCCGGCAGTGGCTTCGCCGAGCCCTTGGCTCTCATCTCCCTGCCTGCTGGTTGCCAGTGTTTTCAGCGATGTAGACATCACGTTGCAATCAAATGGCTGTTCAAATATGCAAATCCTGGTAGGAAAGACAATGTAAATTGTTTGTTTATCCTCTTCCCTTCCCCTCATTCAGCCCCCAAGGCCATAAATTATTAACTTTTGGGAGAGGTGGCATATCCTCAACAGCAGCCGCTCCTGGCAGGGATGGGGTTTGTCACGGCTTGGGCAGGTTTTCCTGCAGGAGTGGGGAGTTGTCTGGTGGTGGGATGGATGGATACTGGGAACCTGTCAGGCTGAACAGACCATACAGCCACTGCGTTGGTTCTCTGCTCGCTCAGCAGCGCGGGCTGGGCTGGGTTTGCCATTGAATCCTGCAAATTTGAAAGGAGAGGGATGGCAGCGCCATCTCCAAGTTTTTAAGTAGAAATGGTATTGTGTAGGAGGCTTCTGTGGCAGCAAGAGGTGATGGAGGTTGTCTGAGTCTCGTTCTTTATGCATCTGGGAAAAAAACATCTCTGCTGTAACTTGGCCTTGTGCTGCTGGTGGAGTCTTGTTGTTGTGCTTCTTTCAGGCTTATTTTGGAGAGTCTGAAAAGTTCAGAGTCTTCGTTACTCTTGGATGCCTGTGGTCAGTCGTAGCACACTGACAGTCTGTACACTCCCCTTGACCACAAAACTTCCTCATCATTTCTCATGGATTGGGGAAATCACATCAACTTCAGTGGAGAAGGAGCCTTTGCTTTAACTCCTGTGTGTGTGTGTTGCTTGCCAGCTCTTTGCTCTGTCTGCAGCTTGGGAGCTGAAATTTTGAATTAGATTCCTTTTCCTACCTTGTCCTCCTCCCCTCACCCCCCCTCACCCACAAAATAAAATTGGGATTTGGCTGTTATGAAATCACCTGTAATCTCTTTGTGCTTCTTCCAGATCCGAGCAGATGGTCCTCCTCATGGTGGAATTCAGTATGAAACGGTGACGGTTTTCAAGGATGGGAGCCCAGTCCTTCGAGACATGGCCTTCTCCATCGATGGGAAGTACCTGTACGTCATGTCGGAGCGACAGGTAAGGCCTCTGCTTCTGTATCTCCACGGCTGCAGCTGCCTTACATAGGGAGCGTGTTGGAGCACACGGAGCTGAGGTTGTGCACTGAGCTCCATGGTGTGGAGGTTTTGCATAGCTTTGTCTGAACATCCTTTCTGCTGCCTTTATTTGTTACTGGTATATATGGACTTTATATTACTGGTGTATATATATATATATATATACACTTTATATTACTGGTATATTTTAATTAATGGTGAGTGAGGGATGCTAGTGCACAGAGGTTGGACCAAGCATGGTGCAGGTGGGTGCTATGCGGGCAGCGTTAACCGCGTCTCTTCTTGGCTTTGTGTAATCAGGAGCAACAAATCATGTAATTTTTACCACAATTTCTCATTTTCAAAATGGGAGTAGGTTGTTTTGGGGTTTTTTTTCTACATTACTCCATGGTTTTACAAGGAAGATTCATTAGTGTCCGTATAGCTTAGAAGATAGTGGTGGTGTGATACACCCACATGTTCACAGCGTGTTGACCAGGGCAGACTGGTTAACAGCCATCAGTCCTGAGCATCTAAAGTCTGCAGACTAGGGACAACTTCTTGTTCCCAGGAGGAGATTTCTTTGGTGATGCTTTCATCACACAAACTCTTCCCTGGAGACTGGTAAACCCACGAGGCAGGTCTCGGAAGCGAGAGCATCGACTCAGTCAGCACCTGCATGACGATCATGCAGCATCCCAAAGGGAGAGCCTGGGACCAGGTCACCACCTCCCAGCTTGTTGCTGTCCACACAGCCCTTCCTCTGAGCCTGTTCCTGAGCAGGATCAAATCCTGCTCTGCAAAGAGGGACCAGACTGGAAAAAACAAAACTGAAATGATTGTGATAGGAATTAGTGGCCAGTGGTCTGCAGGAGTCTGGTACTTAGGGGAGCCAGCACAGTGTAAATAATCCAGGACCTTCTGTTCTTCTCTGAGACAAGAAAACACAGAAAGTCCTCACCATTAAGCCAGACTTCTGGGTTCACTGACTCTGTTGAGCATTTTATTGGCTATTACTCATGACTGTGTAATTCAGATTAATAGAGCTGGTGCCTTGTGGGTGGTGGACACAGGAGAAGGGTTGCATCTGAAGATGTCTGGATGCTATTAGATTGTTCTGTGTTGAATTAACTCTCTGGTCACTAACAGCTTTTCACCTCTGCTTGGTAAACCTGTATCTGTCCTCCCTCCCACCTGCACCGAGTGAGATGCTACAGGGAGGTATCAGTGTGAAGTGCTCAAAGATCTGCTGGTGGAGGTAGAGAGTGAGCGGCTATCGGAACAGCTTGCCCTGCACTAGGGAGCTTGCAGCTCTTCCCAAAGCCAGCAACACTGTTTTGCTAACCTGTAGCAAAACAAAACAAGTGGCAAATACTTATCTTGGCTATGAAGTACTTTAAAGCCAGGGAATAAATACTTTAGAGGAGTGCAAAGTCTTCTCCCTGCTAAAAGACTGAACCAGATGAAAGCCTGTGGTTAAAGAAGGTGTTATACGCTTCTCACAGCAACTCAGTGATATTTCTATCTCACTGCCATGAGCAGCCACAAATTGAGGATCCCATTCCAGCTTGGACTTGGATTAGATGGTAATAATGAGGTTCTACACAAACTTTGAAATTGAATTATTTTGTTAAAATGTTAATGCTGTGGTCGTTTTCTGCAGGAGCCCTGTGCTCCTTGTGCTCTTGCCAGGGAGGAAACGATCCAGCGTGTATCTCAAACAGTTGTGGAACTGTTTTCCTTAGGAGGAAAACCCAGTGGGAATGCCTCCAACTCATCTTTTATGAGGCGAGAGCATCTTAATATTCATCAAAGTGCTAATTTGCTTAATTGTGAAACAAAAAGATGTGAAGAGAATTAGCAAATAATAGATTATTCCTGGAACATTAATTCCATTTCCAGCCATGGCTCTGGCAAAGCACTTGCCTTGGGGAGACTCCAGGAGCAGGGGGATGTGGTCCCTCATTCCTTGCAGGACCTGCTGTAGGATTTGCTTTGCCCTTGTAGAGATGTGTGCTTTGGGTCCAAAGTCCTGACATGCCATTACATATGGATTTCATCAGCTCCTGTGACCCCACTGCCCTAATCCTGGTGATGTGATAGTTCAGCAAAGTGCAGGGGAGAATATATTTTCTCCTGAATGCTGTATCAAGGAGCCTGATGATTGCAAAGGGGTCAGGACCAAGAGAAGGAGAAAGGTCCATCAGCTTCGGAGGGCTGAGGCTGTAAATGCTGGGAAGTGCCCTCAGAATTACTGAGAATATGCAGTAAAAGTGTCTTCTGGAGTCTTGAAATCTGGAACAGAATGAAATTCTGCCACAGTGAAATGACATAGAGAGCAGCTGTTCTTAGCGCTGATCTGCTGCATGTTGACGTACTGGGGGAGGATTGTCCAGGGCCTGTGATTTTAAATATCTGCTGAGAAAGAAACAGGATACGTGCCTATGTCAAAACACAGCTTTCAAAAAATAGGTGGGGTTTTTTGTGGAATTCAGATAAGAAATGTATGCTCCCCAATACTGATCAGTAGCAGATCTTGAGCTCGTGTGGCTGTGGTGTTGGGGACAGACCAGCGATGAGATGCGATGCTCTGTGTTGGAGCGTGATGATGCACAATAAACTGAGAGAGACGTGTGGATGCTTCCCAAGGAAGGGTAGATGTAACGTTTTGGTTTGAAGCCCATCTTCCTTCTGTGCTAGCAGCAGCTAGGATCAGCTTTATGCTGAAATGCATGAGGGAAAATAGTCGCTTCATCCTAAAATCTGGAGTTGTGGTTGTAGGCGCCGTCTTTCCCCACCCCCTGGCTCCTGTCCCAGCCCTGTCTGTGCCTCCTTCCAATTTATCCGCAGTCCTTTTGAGCTCTCCATGAGCTTTTCATGTTTCATTGCCAACTCCTTCCAAAGCAGAATATTTGACATTTGATTTCACTCCCACAAAGCACAGAAGCAACAGTTGCACAGCTCAGTCCGGGGGAGAGAAGGATAAAGAAACTTTGCTTCCAGCCACTTATTTGGAGTTCTTTAACCGCATGATTTAAGAGTGCTTATTAGGAGCTTTTACAGGCTCTCTTCCCACTGCACCTGGTTTCAAATAGCTCTTATGGCAAAAGAGAAGCCATTCTCACCCTATTTAAAGCAGAAATTCATTTCTCAGCATTGCTCTAACAAGCAAACACCATTCCTGCCCACAAGCTGAGCAAGGCTTGGAGAGCACTGGATGCTGCTGAGATGGAGACATGCCCGTTAGCGGAGCTGCCTGAGTCTCTCCATTCCCTCCCTCCCACCCAAATAACGGTCGGTGCTGCAGGTGGGTCAGCGATGGAGGGACCAGCACAGCCGTAGCAAGAGGACTTGCACCATGGTTCTTCTCAGCTGGTGCCCAGCGTGAGCTGCCTCTTGTTTTTCACGGGCAGACAAATTCAATTAACAGTTTCTGTCAGAAAAAAAATCCCACAAAATATTGAAGTGGAATCGGTAGCATTGCTGTCATGATGGCTGCATCGGTTGCTTCACTGACCTCCAGTGACACTTGAGGGTGCACCCAGGGCTGGGAGCCCCCAGAGATCAAGCAGCAGGTGAGGGGTTAATGGCAGTGCAGGGCAAAACTAGTGAGAGATTCCATGGGGCCACCAAGAGATTAAAAACCTTCCCATTTAATGGTGAGTCTGTTGTGGAGCCTGCACCAACCACCTGCATGTGCAGGAAAGCTTCTTCAGAAGGAAAAACTGAGGCTTACAGGAAAAGCGCTGGTTATATTGAGAAAAAGTGACTTTATAATTTGGTCCTGAAGCATGAATTGTCAGTGCATCAGGGAGACAGCAGGTTGGTGTTTTTTTTTTAATGTATGAAAGCTCAGTGCATTTCGATTCAATAAGCCCTGTAGGACGAGAGCAATTTTATGACTTCAAGGCTGCAACCCCTTTTTACTCGTCGTATCCTCTGCAAGTTCAAGCTGTTGCAGTGCAGGTTTCAGATGCAGCAGGTTTGACTTTGCTCCCACGTACACACCTTCAGCAATCGCGAGCTGTAACCCCAGGAGAAATGGTGGGAATGCTTCAGCACGGGGATTATATAAACGGCAGCAGAATTGGGGCCAGAGATTTTTTGCAGCTCTTGATAGAAGAACAAATTTTGTTATTTTTAATCTGGAAGTGAGTGGAGGTTCAATCAAACGTGTGGCAGGCACCCGGGCAGGGATTGCCATCTCCAGAAGATTTCACCACCTAATCAAGGGCTATAACGAGGAAATTTAAAACAGCGTGATCAAAATACTTGCAGGGCTCGTTGGAAGGAATATCCCTGTGCTGGGGAAGAGAAACACGGCTCAGCAGGTCTCTTCCCTTCCCAAATGCTGAGCTGTAAGCTCTGACTGCAGAGGGTGCAGGAGGCAGAGGTGGGTGCAGGGTGCTGAGGGGCACCAGACCTCAGGGCAGGCTCCCCCCACCTCTTCCCCACATGCAGACACACCATTCTAAGACATATTTTTCCTTTTTTATTGTCCAACACTTTTTTTTTCAGCTGTTTTTTTTTTTCATCTATCACTTGTTTGTGCTAATCACGTAAAATGCTTTGATGAAGGGTTGTGGTCACGCGATGCGGGGCTGCTCCCTGATGGGTGAAGTAGCACCTTCCCTAATGAGATACCTGGCCAGGATGCTGCAAATGCAGAATTCATCTTCCATAAACATCCTCCAAAATCCCTGCACATTTCATTGCCTCGGAAACGCTGCTGCTCTCAACTCATCCGTAGTTACCTCGGTGGTTAATTCTGCCACAGGGGGATTATTTCATTCTGGTTTATATGGTACGTAACAGAGCAGCATCCTGCTCTGTGACTGGGAACCACACCGTTCCCGTGGTAGAAATAATAACCCATAATCACCCAGTGAGATGCAGATAACATCAATTAGCCCAGCAGAGCTCAGAGGGCCACGGACCTCTGTAGCCTGAGATGTACTGAGTAGTCCTGTTCTCTGGTGGGTA